AAAAAAAAAAAAAAAAAAAAAAAAGCAAAAGGAAAGAAGCAAACAGCAAAAAACAAGAGAAAAATACGCGAAAAAAAAAATGTGAAGACGGTAACGAGATAAAAAAAAAAGCTAAAGCGAGAAACGAAGAAAAAAGCCTAAATTGCGGAAACAAAAAAAAAAGCGCAAGGTGAAAAACACACACCCGCGGCTAATTCGGTGCACGCGTAGAAACAAACCGACCCGCACACGAGTTATATTTTGCATGCGCGGCGCGTGCGATGTGGTAACACGCTGGGTTGTACGAATGAAGCGGAGGGGCGCACCAAAAAAAAAAAAAAAAAAAAGCGATAAACACTCTCCGAGGCGCAATCGGAAGAAGTGAGAGCGGTTCAGTCTTGCCGCCGCGCTACCGACCTACACGCTACGCAACTCCACCGCTATGCTACTTTAAAAAAAGACGTCACGACGGTGTAGAAGAGCTTGAAAAAGTCCTGGTAGCTGATCTGCGAATACGCGCGGTTGCTGCTCAGAAAATGGTCGAAATTTAGGCACCTGTTGTTGAACTCGGACTTGAAGAGGAAGTTGTTTTGCAGCGCGCAGGAATTCATGTCGGTGAAAATGTATTTTTTGAGTGAGTTGGCTGGTGGCTCGGGGGCAACAATGCCACGTTTTCCACGTCTTTCACGTTCGTCATGTTCGTTACGTTCGTCACGTTTTTCACGCTCGTCTATTGCGCGGCTCTCGTCACTGCGCCCTGCTTTACTCCAGTTAAGGGTATTGATCCCACTAACGGCGATCTGCTCGCGGACGGCACTAACAAGCTGCGCCGTCTTGTCCCCCAAGAAGTCACTGACATCGAAGAAGACCTTCTTGAAAAAAATTTTAAAAATGCCCAGAACACCCAGCACATTGCAAGCATTATGATTGTCCGTGGCTAGTTTCAAATAAATGTGTAAAATATTTTTCAAGCTCTCCAAGTTATTGTACTCCAAAAACAACGCCTTGTAATACAAAGGCTCATGGTCTTCTTCATCAGAGTTCCTAATTAAAAATTGCAGCTCCTTTCTCTTACTCTTTATTGTGTACTCATCCCCATCTCTATACTTTTTAATCAAATCGATGGTGGATTTTTTATAACCATAGTAGGCTGAATATATGTCGTAGTACTGCTTGCAGATGTCGCAGTTTTTTGAAAAGCTCTGAATTTCCTCAAACATGCTCGACGAATAAGTATTTTTGTAATAAAAAATTTCTTTCAGGTCTTCCCCTTCTAGGAGGGGAGAATATCTTGAGAATTCTGCTTCATACAAATCTGTCACTTGTTGACTTTTGTCTTTTCCAGGAGTGTACCCAAAGTAGCTGCTACTGTTCCCTACAACATTACTCATTTCCTGTTGAGCATTCCATTTCATACTTTGCTTTTTCTCTTCTTCTAACTTTATTTGATAATAAGAAATGGGTTTATAATAACAGTGTAGGAATTCACTAGTTCGGAAGTGCTCCAGAATGGTCCCCTTCATTCTTTCAGCTCTTTGTATTTTCTCTCGGGGAGTTACACCTTTTTCAATTTCACTCTTTACGATCTGATCATACTTTTCGAACAGATCAATTTGTTTGTGAGCTTGGCGCAGCTCGCGCACATGGTAATGGTAGACGTTTCGGTGGGTCTTCCTAATCCCGCTGCTTTTCCCTCCTGTATTGGCCCCCCTTCTTCGGTGTAACAACTCGTCTCTCAAGTAGTGACAAAACCTCATGTTAAAAAGGACGTTGTTCCTCTCAATTGTGCTGCATGTTACCATGGCACAAGTTTTCAAAATTGAGTCTCCGCTTAGTTTATATTTCTTCTGCAGGGAATACTTTCCCCCCTTTCCCTTCTTGTACAATCTGTGGATTATTCTATCCACTGGGTTGGCTACGCGGTTGTTGCGCACACTGCCCGCGCGGCTACCCTGGCCGCCCTTTATGGGAGTGCCAGCGGCACCCTCCTCCTTGATGGCCTTCTGGAGGAGGTTCGCCAAAACGCCCTCCACCATGTTATACTTCTCCGTGAATGTCTGCATGGTTTTTCGCTTCAAGTCCCACAGCATGGACGCATTCACATTGTTGGGGTGATCGCCCAGCTCGGACAGAATAACTGACACGAGCAGCGACCCCGTGTAGTCCCTAAAGTCGTAGTTTCTCTTCAACAACTTGGTCAAGACATACAAGCGCTCATTAAAGAGTCCAATGAAGTGAAACTTCTTCAACGTTTTCTCACACTTTTCATTGAAAGTCTTCAAATTGGGATTCACTCCTTTAAGAATTAAGATGCTCTTATTGTATAGCGAAATTATATTTCCATTTTTTGCAGACATGCTATAGTACTTATAGGATTTTTTTAAATTCTCGTTTTTGTTTTTCTCATCATAGTCTTTTATTTTAACTCCTATGTCTGTCCCCGAGTAGTAATGGCCCAACATCATTTGTGAAATATTATCTCCTTTATCTGCCGCCTTTTTTAAATACTCTCCAGCTAGCTCTAGATTCTTTTCTGTGCCTAATCCAAACTTGTATATGTTATACTTGGCCAAAATATATTCTATACTCTCTTCGTTATTTCGAATGGCCTTCTGGAAGTACTGCTCTGCATTTTTGAATGCTTTGTTTCTCTCCTCACTAAGCTCCTGCATGTACTTTTTAATAATGTCGTCGCTTTGGTTAGTCGATGCATTATCCCTATTCTCTGCTCTATCTTGCATCTGTTCGCCCATCCAAAAGGGTATGCCCGCTTGGCCAGCCGCGTAACCGCTTGATGTGTTTGGCGTGGATTGAGCGGATGGAGGGGCTTGCCCATCGCCATACAAGGGGTTGGAAAATGCCGCTGCTGCGCCGGAAGCGCCCATATGATTAGGGGTCCCAAGTGGAGAATCCCCATCCTGAGCAGAGCCCATTTCATTTTGTTGTCCGGAAGGTTGCACTACTGAAGTGTGCATCCCCGCAGTTGCTGCCCCGGATGTGAAAGCGAAGTAACTGCCCCCATTGGCCTCCTTCCCCTCGCTGTCATTTTTCCCCCCTTCCCCCGCACCGCTACCGCTATCGCCACTACCACTACTACTACTACTACTACTACTACTACTACTAGCACCCTTTTCCTCCTTAATCATATTGAGCAAGTCGTCTTTACTCATCGTTTTAATAATTTCCTCCTTCCTCACATGTTTCTTATACTCATCTAGGTAAGCATACCCAGTGGACAAAGCAGAGGTAGTATCTCCCTGGTCTGCGGCTTTCTTCCAAAACTCAAAAGCTTTCATTTCATCTCGTTCAATACCTATGCTTTCATTTCCTAAGTAGTAAATTTCCCCCAGAGCTGCAAGGGCGTAAGAATTTCTACTATCAGCTAACTTTAAAAAATACTCAAACAAACTTTTATTATAATCTACCGTGTTGTGAATCAAATGTCTATTCTTCTCACTGATGTTTTCTTCATACACCCCACTTTCAATAGCAGAGGTATTTTTTAAAGAATCCACAACTGCCCCCAGGATATTACTTAACAAATAATCACATGAACTTAGAAAAGGAGATATATTATTTTTAATTACCGAATTTTTGTAAATCTTTTTGTCAAAGGTAAAATCAAAATAGTCCTTCAAAAATATATTACTGTCTTTGTTTTTATATTTGAGTCTAATCATATTATTTGTGAAGGCCAGCTTGCTATAAAAATCATCTTTAGTAGAACCCAAAGAATAAGACACAATTTTTGACTTGATATTATCTACTGAACTGGGTATTATTCTATTTTCATTGGATAAAAAATCGTGGTTTCTTATGGTCCCATTATTTCTGTAGTATATATAAAAAAAGCTATTAAGAGAATTGTCACTTGCATTCATTATGTCTTCACTCATTTCAGTGGTTATGGATATGGAGGAATTATTTACAAATATTGGCAGGTTTAAATGGTAGAGTATACCACTTAAAAAATTACACAGACCATCTTTTCCCCTTCTTATGAGCTTAACGGAGTAATCAATATTTCGAGGGAACCCATAGGGTAGTTGTAACTTTCCCCCGTTGTCGTTTATTCCTACTAGGTAGAGGAAGGCCAGGACGCACATTGCTTCGTTTTTTAGCTTCTCCGTGTACTTTTTCCTTAACAATTTCAGCTGGTCATGGAGTTGGTCCTTTGTGGTGATCGCCGCGGGGGTGAACTCGCTCAAGTTTACATTTCGGTAGAAGGAGTGCACGCCTCGGCGAGTTGGATACGTCCCAGGGGTAGTCGCTCCACCGACAGCCGCTCCACCGGTAGCGGCTCCACTCGCAGCCGCCTCACCCCGCTCAATGAATAGCAAAAATGCATTCAAGTCGTTTGAGTTGATCTCGCTGGGCAAATCCTCGTCGACGACTACCCGCTCGATGATCCGTTTGACAGATGGACTAGCTGCTCCCTTCACTTCCACACCTGGAGACTCCTCCCCTCGCCACAGCCCCCCCGCTATCCTCCTGCTCTGCAATAAATTGTCGTAGAAATTACTACCCTCTTTATATTTAATAATGGTAATTAAATTATCGTATATATTTTTAAAATTCACCTGCTTCTTACTGCTTATCTGGTTAAGGTACAAGTAGATGTCCTTCGATGGGTTGAATAAAAGGGGCGTATGTCTGGCCGTACGGATGTTAAGAATGAACCCATCCTTCAACTCATAATTATTTTTATAATCTTCCATTTCCTGCTTTCTCTTTTGTGCAGAGTGCTTTAAAATGGTGTTGAGATTTTTCAAAATATATTGGTTGTATTCCTTCAGATCTTCTGCTTTGGGGGCTTCCTTATACGATTCCAGTAGGTCTTTCCATATGTCGTTGTCTATTAGATCGTCTTGTGGGGCAGCGACGGGTTCTTTTGCATCCGGTTTGTCCGTGATGGACTCTCCTCCCTGCACCTTTCCTACGGTGTCTTCCTTCACGCCGACAGTTTCACTAGCTTGTCCCGCAGCAACTTCCGCCGGACCGCTCGATTCCGCAGATGAAGCGTCTTGAGTAGGTGGCATGTCTTTCCACTCCTCCTTCAACTCATCCTCTTTATGTGATCCCTCCACAGAGGCGTCACCGACACCTGAACTGAACTCCATCTGGGATGCCTTCCTCTTGGCGCTCTTCACTCCATCGTTGTAGTACTCATTGTAGAGGTCATTCAGCAGGTTTATAAAAAATTCCTTAAAAATGGAAAAAATCAGATCAATTTCTGCATCGAGGTAATTTTCCACCAAAGGGGGCGAAGAAGAAGAAGAACAAGTGCTCTCCTTCACAAATGGATACAAAACAAAGTTCGGGTTCAGCCTTTTCAACATTGTAAACAACTTATTGTCATTCTTCTTTATTCCATTATTGTAGGCCTCCTCAGCAATCAAATGTTTGTGCTTCTCAAAGTAGCGGTGATTATAAAACTCGAAATAATCGACCACGAAATCATTGAAGGCTTTGCAGCTGTACATGTGAAATGGGTAGTACCTGGTGGTGTTGTTTAGCTTAAAATTGTACTTATTATAATTGTCTAGTATATCTAACAAGGAAAATTTATTTAGGTCTATATAAAATGAAAAGGTTTCTGAACTTAGTAAATTCAATATAAGTCTGTAGGTATACCTATAAGAGTACACACGTTTATCATCATCACCATGAGCTAAATAGTACACGTAATTTGCCTTGTCGAAATGTGATTCTACTAGCTTAAAATTTGTGTACCATCTGAAAAGAGACGTTACGAAATGACGCTTAAATGTACTTTCTTCAATTTCGTAATTAAAGAACTTTTTCTTCTCGTTGTATGAAGGAGTTACTACGATCGTTCCGCTGATCACTTTTATTATATATCGCATCCCCGTGTACATGTCTGCACTCATTTTTGTTTTCAGTGCATACTCTTCTAACATGTGAAAGTAATTATAATTCTTTCTGTGTAGGCTTCTTAGTATGATTTCGTCAATCGCGTCATCGTACTGGTTTAATCTCTCCTGGAACTCCACCAGGAAGTGCTTTCTCTCGCCTGCGGAGCTGCTCTCAGGGGGCAAATCACCACCTGGAATGGTTTCAGCCGGAGCGGCCTCTTCCTTCACAGTGGCAATGTCGTCTTCGTTCGGTTCGTCCTCCGTAGCGGGACTGCTCATACTGGACTCTTCCTCTGTGGCGACATGATCTGTCTGGGGCTCACTCTCTTCAACGCTGCTTCCAACAGCATCCTCTTCCTCTATGGCAATCGCATCTTGGTTCGATTCACCCTCCTCAACGGGACTACTCACAATGGAGTCATCCCCCTGGGTGGCGTCATTTTCAATAGGTTCTGTTAACGTGGTGCTCTCTACCTGGGGTTCGCTTTCCTTGGTGGCGTCATGTTCAACGGGTTCTTCTATGACCGTGGAGCTATCTTCCTGGGATTCACTTTCCTCAGAGGCATGACTAACAGCTTCCTCTTCCATGGCGATTACACTATCTGGCTTAGATTCAATCTCCTCGATGGCGTCACTAGGAGTTGCCTCTTCCACGACTGCGCTATCCGCAACGAGATCATTCTCCGCAGCAATGTTACTAGAAGCTTCCTGTTCCATGGGGCTGGCACTATCTGTCTCTGGTTCACTGTCCTCGGCTGTATGACTAACAGCTTCCTGTTCCATGGAGACGACATTATCCTCAACGGGATCATTCTCCTTAACGACGTCATCAGCTGTGGATTCTTCCACGGTGACAACGCCATCTGACTCCGATTCATTCTGTTTGAGATTGATGGTAGAAGCGACCTCTTCTACGAAGGCGGTGGTATCTGCAATGTGTTCACTCTCTTCAACAGCGTTAGTGTCTTCTTTCTCTTCCATAAGGTCGATACCATCTGCGTTGGGTTCACTCTCCTTGGCCATATTACTAGAAGCTTCCTCCTCCATGAAGGCGGTGCTATGTAACTTGGATTCGTTCTCGTTGGTGGTGTTCTCCACAGTGACATCGTTACTATGCGTGGTTTCCTCCTGCTCCTCCACGACGTGGCTGTCTGCCTTCACTTCATCCCCCTTGGAAGTGTCCTTAGCGATAAGTTCTACCACGTTGGCGTCGTCAGACTCCGATTCAGTTTCTTTGAGGACATCACTTGAGGCAGCTTCTTCTACGCCAACGTCACTATCTCCCTTTGGTTCACCCTCATTGACCATGTCGTTCACAGTGGATTCTTCCATGTCCTCAATGTTACCTGGAGCCGATTCTCCATTTTGTTCGACACTGCTGCCACTGGTGGTGTTACTATCAGATACCTCTTCCACGCCGACGTGGCCATCTACCTTGGGTTCATTCTCCGTGGCCATGCTGCTCTGTACGGATCCTTCCACAGAGAGGGCGACACCTGCCTCAGCTCCCCCCTCGCCCTTCTCCACTGTCTGCTCCTCCCCTATGAGTACATCTACCTGCAGCTGCACGTCCACATCGCCCCCCGCAGCGTCGGATCCTAACTTTACATCACTGGTGTCGTTGTCCTCTAAACTTGAAGTCTTCTCCTCGTAGTGTCCACCCCCCTCGGGGAGGTCCGTTTCGAACACTACTTCCTGCTGCTCATTCTTAATATATTCACACTTAATTATTAACAAAAAAAATGAAAATACTAAGATCACATAAAAGACATTATTAATCATGTTCGCTCTGAGGGGTGACGTTCGGCGGCTAGCAACGTGGCTATGGGAGGTAAGCAGGGGGGGAGGGAGGAATCACCGCGATCAAAGCGAAAAGGAACGTTCCAAATGAGAAATGTGCAAAATGATATGCTGGCCGTGAAATGGGCAAAAAAAAAAAAAACAAACAAAGACTGCAAATCTACAAAAAAAAAAAAAAAAAGAAAAAGAAAGAAAGAAAAACTCCCCCTTTTTCTCTCCCCTTTCTTATGATTAAAAAGTGGGAAGGAAAAAAAGAAGAAACGGTTAAACAGGAAGGGAGGAAGAAAGGAAGGAAGGAAATATGTCCGTCGTTTTTTTTCTTCTTCTTCTCCTCATATTTTCACACTTGTACAAACGTGAGTACTCGCGAAGAGGTACATACACTATACACACAAAAAAAAATATGTGCACACAAGCAGACAGTTGGAAAGCATGCGCTTATGCGTACTAAATGTCCACAGGGGTGTGCACGACGAATTAAAAACAAAACAAAGGGGTTTCATTATTATCAAATAATCTTCTTCAAGTATACAGCACATATACAAGAAAATGGAGGAATCAAAGCTGCTGCCGCGATGGGCATGGCGCGCATTAACGCAACGGACGTGACACGCATTGCGTAGCAGAAGGTGCCAAACGGGAAATGAAAAATAAAGGAAAACAAAATCGGAAGGGAAAATATAAATAATTTACGTGCGTCCTGTGGCACGAATGAAAAACTCCTTTAACAGTAAAGGAAAACCTGCGCTTCATCCTAATTTGCCGCTTTTTTTTTTTTTTTTTTTTTTTTTTTCTTTCTCACCTTAAATTGACTGAAACTGCTTTTTAACCCACCAAAAAAAAAAAAAAAAAAAAAAAAAAAATATGCAACACAATTCGCGCGTGCATGGTGCATGTATGCATTGTTTAAAAGAACACAGGGGAGGAGGTGGACTGAACTGGACAGGATGACAGGGATATATTCTTTACGCTTTTGGAAATGCGCGTAAACACACGTGAGCGGATGTGAAGCTCGCATATACATATGGACATATATACAAATGCGTACGCGCAGACAGCTTACTGACGCGCAGGCCAAAGGGGGGAAGGTGCGTGAAAAAAATGGCCCAGGTGGGAAAACTGGCGCCGCAGTTGGCCAAAACTGTGCGGAACGGACGAGCAATTCCCATGTGAGGGGAGGAAGACGGGAAAAAAATAAAAAGTTAAATATGGGGAGGCAACAGGGAAGAAAGAAAAAAAATAAATAAATACGCCAGTGAAGATTATCGGTTGCATTTCCTCCCCCTTTTGCCGCCCCATAGTTAACTTTTCATTTCCCCGCCCCCCCAATTTTACACATGTTGACAAACGACGAAAGTCACATGGAGAACGGGCTTGGACAAAAAGGAAGGGACATGTAAAAATGGATCAACAAAGAAACACGACGAAAGGGAGAGCCATCCATAATAGTCTCTTCCAACGTGCCGCTATGCTTGTATTAAAAAAAAAAAAAAAAAAAAAACATGCACGCAGATCGGTCTGACAGGTTATTAAACAAGTAGACGAGCGAAGTAACCAGGAAACATCCCTGTGTTCTGAAAAAAAAAATATTGTTGTGTCCATGTTTTTTTATTCATTTTTTATTGTCTTCGCCACATGGCCGAGGGAAGAAAGCAAAAACACGCATTTGAAAAGGATGCATTTGACTGCCCCTGGGGAATGCTACATACTCCCCCATACATATACACATACACACCATCCACTCCGTTTAGTTCGCCTCGGGGAAAACATACCCATCTGTACAATGCATACGTACGGTGCCCTGTGTCCACATTTTTAGTAGGCACTTCCAGAAGTAGGCATGTGCCGTTAAAGGGGAAATACGGAACTGGGCAAAGGGAAACAAAACAGTAACCCATCGTCACAGTGGGGAGTAAGGGAGCCCACTTTTTGTTATGACCCGTGTTATCATCACGAACATGTCCTTGCTTGCAAATAATACACACTCTGTCCTTCGCGCGGCAGGAGTAAAAAAAAAGTATAAGCAAACATAAGTGCGGTGAGCGGTGGGGAAAAAAAAACTAAAAACATTTGGAAGGATAAAAAATCGCACTTGTTGGGGAACCATCACTGCGTAGCCAATACACACAAAACAGGCAGTGGGTGTTGTGCTATGACATCACCTCTACACGGGGCTACTATACATTGAGGAGGAAATGCCTCACCCGAACAGAGCAGGATAGTGCCTGAATATAAAGCGCGCGTTCATTGTCTTACGCAGACGCATGGGGTTCATTAACTATCCCCAATTCCAGCATAAGGGACGCCGTGTGTATTATCCAACGCCCTCGCACTTTTCCATTTACCACATGGCGGGCGCAATCAGTGTGTAACAAAATGATAAACCGGTGTTTATGTAGATGGGTATTGCTGCCGCTCCCCCCCCCCCCGCGCAGACATTCCGAACGAATTAACTTCTGCGCAAAAAAATCCCCCAAGCATGTTTCACAATTTATGTCCCACCACACAGGCCATTTTTTTTTTTTTGCTGTTTTACAAATGGGAATAAAATAGGAGCTCACAGTCCTTTACGCAGCTTCAAACATGGTGCGAAAAAAAATGAGGAACAGGGTTTTAAACGGTCCACAGAGGCATCCCTTGGGAAGAAAAAAAAAATAGAATAAAAATACATCCATGCGCCGATTTTTTCTAATAACCTAAATGCCTGACCAGTTAAAAGAAAAAAGTGGTGGTACTTGGTTACCTCAGCGCGTTCGCAAAAAAAAAAAAAAAAAAAAAAAAAAAAAA